TAATTTGGTGCTTTTAGGACTAAAATATCACATTTGCATTCAGACTTCCATGTTTAGGGATCAGTTTGACTAACATTCAAATCTATTAAGGATCTATTAACAAACAGTTTTTTCCATTAACTTTGTAATCCTGCTATGTTTTGGTGGTAAATCAAAATATTAAATGTTTAGCTGACAAATAGCTTAAGTTAGACAGAATTTTCACCATTTTGTTCCATTTAACGTTCATTTCAGTTTTGTTGATTTTTTCTTTTTAGCTAGTAAATTAACTAAATTGAATGTTTTGCTGGCAAATAACTAAAGTAACTCCGGGTGCTCCGGTTTCTCCCAGTCTAAAGACATGTGGTGCAAGTAAATTGGGTAGGCTAAAATGTCCGTTGTGTATACAGTAAGTGTGAATGAGTGTGTGGGGGTGTTTCCCAGTGATGGGTTGCAGCTGGAAGGGCATCCTCTGCGTAAAAACGTGCTAGATAAGTTGGCGGTTCATTCCGCTGTGGCTACACCGGATTAATAAAGGGCCGAAAAGAAAATGAGTGAATGAATAACTGAAGTTAGTTATTTATGAAGTTATTTAAGACAAAGTTATTTATTTCAGTGTTATTTTACATACCATTTTAAAAGTATGTTATATAAATGCAGGGCTCAAAATTGCGAACATTTTGGTCGCATATGCGCCCGAAAATTAATCTATGCGACCTCATAATATATTTGGGCGCATTAGTGCGACTGCAGATAATGGTTGTAGTGCGACCTGTTTTGATTTTTTGTAAAAACGTGCTGAATTGCTCTTTCAAGCCGCTATATTGGTTCATATTAGCTGTCAATCACTCAAGGTATTCCGCTGTCAGATGACAGGGAAGGAGCTTTTATGACCACGGGAAATGCAAACGGCTGAAGAGTAAAAACTTAAAGCACACAGGTTTGCAAACCCCACTTAAAGTTGAGGCGCAGATGAGAGCGATCATGACACGTCACGTGGTGAATATTGATCCGCCAGCTGAGATCAATCGAGCGCCCTTCTTGGAGAAGGCGCCCGAATCTCGATGCGTTGCATTCACTGCGTGTTCAGCGCAAATGTCCGCTAAAAGTCCAATCTAATAATGTACATATCATCGCCAAAGAAGCTCGCCTTTACTAAGTTTACACTGAAACTGCGGCTCATAACAAAGACCGGTATTGCGCCGATGGTTAGCGCAAGAATCCTGCTCTGCCTGCTCATAAATTGGGTCGGCTGAATCGCTTGCTTTTCCACTAACACAGAAAAATGAAGATCATCTCAGACTGAACCTTTAAATTGACACAAACTGAAACCAAAACTTTTAAAGAGTGATAGAAGTGAGACTTTACTTACTTTCTTTTGTCTATTCTTTTTTGAGGTGTATATTATTATTATTTTTTATTTACTGATGACTGCTTTGCAGCTTTCATCATTGAATTGAATGATTTATTATAATCTTTTGTTTGTTTTGTAGCAGAAATATTATTTATTAAATTGACATGCATATAAAAACAGCAGTACAAAATAAATATTTCTTACTGCAATGCTTCATTTTTGTTTGATGCAAACTATACAATTATTTTTCATAAAGTAACAGACTTTTTATAGCAGATAACCTACATTCATGCACATTCAAGGCAGTATCATAATGAGAAATGTAGTTCATTGTTACTATTATTGTCAATTTTTATCATTATTTTTATTCTATAGCCTAATTATTAGACATTCATTTTGGAATTATTGCACACAAATATCAATGTTTTCGCAGCTTTAGTTAGATAGTTGTTTCTGGTTTTTGTCAGTCCTATTAATGTTGTTTTAAAATACAATAAATCCTTTAAAAAACTATTTGCAGCGGTGCTCATTCATTTTTGGTGGGTGCTCCTAAATTTTTTCTGGTGCTCCTAAAACTTTTTTGGTGCTCCTAAATATTTGAAGTTGGGAGCACCGGTGCTACCAAGTAAAAAAGTTAATTTCGAGCCCTGAAATGTATATAAATATGTGATATAAATAATATATTTAATATGTTTTGATCTCTCAGTAAGAGTTTTTCTTTGAGAACCGATTCTACAGCTCACGACAGTCATGCTGGATATCAGGTCTGCGGTTGCCTGGTTACTGACTGTATGTGATTGTGTCTGTTCATTGGAGTGTAGCTTGACTGTGTGTGTGTGTGTGAGAGAGAGAAGAGGTAATGTTTTTGTTTTACCAGCATATATCAGGGATGTACAGACTTTTGTCTTTGTTTAGTTATACCTCAAGTTTCCAAAAGCATTTATCTGAGGGCTTTGTACATAAATGAATATGATCATTTATTATTATCATGAATTTGTGCTTGAAAAAAATAACTTTTAAATCCATCTCTTCCTTTTTCTTCTGTCAGAGAGGCTGTGTGTTTAGTTAATCTATGATAATGTAAACTAGTGGTTGCCAACCTGTCAAGTGTGATCGACTTCTAGATGTCAAAAATACACAAGAAGTACAAGAGATACATCATGATTTATTCATATATCACTTTATCCAACTGCTGGTTTTATTTTTAGTATGGGTAACTGCGGCAAACGTTGACATATACAGCTCTCCATAGTGATGATATACAGAGCTCAGCATAACTGAGTTCACCGCATTTTGAAAATGAATATATTTCTCCATTTCTCAGTGAATATAGGCAATGTATTTTAGTGCATTTAAACAAAACAGATTTATTAAACAGATATATTTATTAAAATAATATTTAGTCACCAAACATATTTAGAAATTGAAAAATAACACAATTAAATTCAAGCTGCAAACTGCAAATAAAATTACAACCATCACATTTTTTCAAATTCTTTTGCTTCTCTTTATTTTTCCTCTTTTAATTTGTATTTAATATTTTTCTATATCATATAAATTTGGCTGTACTAGTTTTTGCACCGTTATCGTAAGTTATTTTATTAGATAAGCTCCAGATTCAGCTTCAGGGCTTACTAAACTAATGTATATGCTCAAATATAATATTGTAGAGCTTCCTAATAAACGTATGAATTTAAAAGAGAGATTTGTGAGGGTGTACTGATATATGCTGAGCACTGTACCGTATCCAGCAAAGTATAGGAGGTGGTTCACACAGAATGTGTTTTTTTCTTTTCAATGCGCTACTTTTATGTTGTTTATTTATGTTAACATGCACTTTACGAACACGTTTACATTACTCTCTCACCTCGTATTTTTTAAAGCCCCTCACACATGGGCACTGCGTTTTTTATATGCTGTGTGAAGTTAAAAGAGAATTTTAACTTTTACACACAGAGCTGCTCATCACTGTCGAAAGCAGTGGACCAATCAGATGAACTCGGAGGAGGGGATATTTTTTTAAATAAAAATTAGAAAAATGGATTAGATATGGTTAAACTGGTGGATTGTACATACAGTTGAAGTCACAATTATTCGCCCTCCTGTGATTTATTAAATTTTTTTGTTTGTTTTTTTTCTTTTTCAAATGTTTCTCAAATGATGTTTGACAGAGCAAGGAATTTTTCGCAGTATTTCCTATAATATTTTTTCTTCTGGAGAGAAAGTCTTATTTGTTTTATTTTGGCTAGAACAAAAGCAGCTTTAAATTTTTTTACACCATTTTAAGGTCAATATTATTAGCCCCTGTAAAGGTTCACGAAACCCTCAAGTACTTTTTTTTTAGATTTAAACTGATTTGTGTGTGTTGAGCATCAGTTAAGAGAATGTTAGCACCTGTCAAACTGGGTAATTTTGAGCTTTTGTCAGCTAATTTCAGCTTTCGGGTTTAAAATGATTTTCGGGGCGGATCAAAATCGGCAACGTAGCGCAAATCTGCAAGTGCAAAGATGAGGCATCGGTTTCTCATTATTATTCATAGCAAAGTTTCCTTATCCTATGAGAAGAGTCTGCTTCATAATTATTCATGACTGCTTGTGCTTTCCGAAGGCAAGTCAGACCTGCCAGTGCCAAACTGTGAGACATGTTGATGACTGGGTGAGACCGCGTCCACGGACCCACAGCACGCAGTATTTAGCGGTTCATGAAGGCTTGTGTGTGTTTGCTTCCATGATCTATTGAATTTTTTGCATGTTTTTCCCCGCGATGCTGTCAGGGCCGTTACAGCAAAGCTGTATGAGAACGTTGTCTTTTATCAGGAGTTCATTCACATTTAGACACATCGCTGTGTTGCTGTGTTTGCCTAAATCTTCTAGATTACCAGCAGGGCTAATGGGTAAAATAGACAGGGCAAGAGACCTGCTGCACTGAGTCTGCATTCAGACCCGAGGACTGAGGGAGAATCCTCATTTAAAGTGTTTATATGAACACGATTATCTTTATAATGATATAAATTGTGGTTATCTGTATATGAAATTATTACGAATAACAAATGTAGCAGGGCATTAAATTACTGTTTATTTCTTTCCATTTTAACTTTGTAAACTATAAAATCATGCGTCTCCTCACGGTTTGTGTCTCATTTTGTGAACCGACTGACAACAGTTGTTCGCTCTCCTCCTTCTCCCCTGCTGGCCACGCCCACTCCTGCCCTTTGCTCGTGGAGCTCCACGCCCATTAGGATGCATCTCTTGAAAAAATTCTGAGGTAGACTTCAACAGAAAGTGGAGGGTGTCATGACCCTTTAAGCTATATTTTCTTCAATTGTCTACACAACAAACCATCATTATACAATGACTTGCCTATTTACCCTAGCTTGCTTTATTAAGCATTTAAATGTCACTTTAAGCTGAATACTAGTGTCTTGAAAAATATCTAGTCAAATATTATGTGCTGTCATCCTGGCAAAACAGAAATCAGTTATTAGAAATGAGTTATTAAAACTATTATGATTAGAAATGTGCTGAAAAAATATATAATAATTCAGACTTCAACTTTAGTTCAAAAATTCTTGGCTACCACCGATGTAGACTATGATGCTGCTCTGTTTGTTTAAGATGAGTGGTGTATTGTGTGTGTTTAAGTGCTTACTGTTTGTTTGTGGTTACAGGTGAAGGATCTGACGCGGTTCTTGGATCCCAGCGGTCTGGGTGTGATCAGTTTTGAGGATTTCCACAGAGGCATCAGTGCAATCAGCAATGAAGGTGAATTAAGGCCAACCTATCCAGCATGTGTTTTACACAGCGGATGCCCTTTTAGCTGCAACCCATCACTGGGAAACACCCATACACTCTCACTCAAACACATACACCACAGACAATATAGCTCCAATTCACCTATAGCGCATCTCTTTGGACTTGTGGGGTAAACCGAAGCACCGGGAGGAACCCCACGCTGACATGGGGAGAACATGCAAACTCCACACAGAAAGCCAACTGACCCAGCTGAGGCTCGAACCAGCGACAGCGCTACCCACTGCGCCACCGCGCCGTCCTCCATTAGTTAATATATTTACTTATATAAACAAACAAACAACACATTTATTAGCGTATTTATTCATCTTTATTGACAAAGATAAAGTCATGCATAGATAGTGCATATTAACTCACAATGCATTAATTAATCTCATCATTATATAATCATAATAATTCATTAATAAATGTCCTACAAGCCATTTTTAATCCAGGATAGAAAATGCATGAACTAACATTTTACTTCCTTCATGCAGCTTTTTAAAGTCATTTTGGAGCAAAACTTTTCATGTTTGAAAGAATTTGATTTGTTAATTTGGTCAAAAAGCAAACATTTAACATGATCTGGCATTATTTAATACTGATAGAGCGTTTCAGATCAAATTCTGTGCTGAAAAACACATGAGTCAGAGCGTCTGTGCATTACTCACTGTGATCACGTGGCTGAATTGGGAGTTTTGAGAATCTTTTAAAGAAGTGAGTCTCGTTTGGAAGGGATTTGTTGATAAGCAAAGACCTCACAGGAAAATTAATTCACCCCAAAAATGACATTCAGCTATTAATATTGTCATCCTCAGGCCATTCAGCGTCTTATTTTAAGGCAGTTGGATATTAAAGATACATAATATGATACCACATTGCAGTTACAATTGTTAATTCGTTATTGTGTGTTAGTGTGTATATTATTACTGTTGTAGTTATTATTATTAATAATATTTGTAGCGTATTTTTACATCTCACTTATAATATGTAGTACTTGCAGAAGTATCGTTGAAAATCATTTAACCAACCTTTATTTAGTTAACACTGCCACATCATACACCCACATTTTCATCCCTCCAAAAAATTGGGAGTTTTGAGGATATTTTAAAGAAGCGAGTCTTATTTAGAAGGTATTTTACTTGTTGATGAGCAAAGCATTTCACGAAAAAATTAATTCACCCAACAAAAAATAAATAAATTTAGCTGTTAATTTTGTCATCCTCAGTCCATTCAAGGTGTAGGCGTCTTAATATTGTTCAATAGGATGTAGAAGATGATTTTATGCTGAAACTGTGATTCTTAATGGTTAGCATCTCTTCTGAGAATCAAAAAACACATACAGGCAAAACAAACTGTAAAATCTGTGGTTCTAATGGTACATTGCGGCCTTATAAAGAGAAAATCAGTCTAAGTGTGTTTAGTGCAGGTAAGTGGGCTTGACAAAGCAACTGTAGGTCACACACTCTTTCCATATGAACTAGACACCTTCTTATAAGCATCCTACACACAACTTGGAAAACATTATGCAATTCTGAGTGTGCTCCACACAGGTGAGTGGGCTTGACAAACCACCTGTAGGATGCACTTTCTCCTCTTCATATAAAAAAAAGCAATCAATGTTTGACATTTTAAAAACAATTTAAGGTCAATATTATTATTAAATTAAAAAAATATTTAAATATTATTATTTAGACTTTATATATAAATAAATATATATATTTAAATATATAATAACTTGCCTAATTAGCATAACTTGCCTAGTTAACCTTATAAACCCGCTTAAGCCTTTTAAATTGATCTTTATGACGAAGTATTTTGCGAGATAACTAGTAAAATCTTATATGCAGTCATAATGGCGAAGACAAAGAAAAGTATTGATTAGAAATTAGTCATTAAAACTATTATGTTTAGAAATGTGTTTTAAAATGTCTTTTAAACAACACTTGGAAAATATTTTAATAGACTTTAAATTTAACAGGGGGGCTAATACAAAGATATAAGTAATAATTATAATGCAATAAATAGACAGCGTTATTAAAATATATATAAATATATATATTAAAATATAATGTGCTCTGTGTTGACTACAAACTAGGTATCAAAGCGCAGTCTTACTGTTTGTAGTGGGCATATGCACTCACATCTCTCTATAAACCTATTATGGTGATGGCGGGATAGTTTAGAGCACTTTACTAGGGTTTTCTCCTATAACTTCAGTAATGAGATGAGGTCATGTTTCTAATGGCCTGCTGTGCGTCCTGTGTTTCACGAGTCAGATTTCTCCCATCATTAATGGATGAATAATGGAGAATATCACTCTGTCTGCTTGTGCTCTACAATACTGACCGCATCAAGAAAGCTTCTTATTCCCAAGAAAATTCTCTATTGCGTTACTTAAAATGACAGTTAGTAGTATGGTTAGTCATATGGATACTGGAATGGCTGTAAATCTGAGTTGTTTAAACCCAGTGCTTGGCCCAAAATGGATATAGCCAACTATTCAGTTAACTTTTCAAATTAATGTTAATTTTGATGTTAACCCAAATGTTGGATACGTTCATATTCGACCAAGAATTGGATTAAGACAACGCAGCTTTTTTTAGATTATGACAGAAAGTGATGTCTTGCTATTTTGAGGGATTTTTTTTTGACATCGATAAAGTGTTGATTTTCGACTAGGGCCGCACGATACTGGAAAAATATGGAATATACAATTTTGCTGTTGAGTATTGCGATAAAGATTTTTCTTAAAGTATAAAATGTCCCTAAAAAAGGCTTTTTTAAAGTTTATTTATTTTTTTTAACCTATCAGTAATTTACATTATATTTATTTTACTTTTTTTTTTTTTGCAGAGACATTTTATTGTTGCAAAACATCTATATACTGTATTATTGTCCAAACATCAACCAAAGAACCCCCATTATATAAAAGTCATTAAAATATATGCACAAATGCAAAAATCGTAATTATTAAAATAATAATAATGAATGCATACATACAAAACAGTGAGATTTATTCATCAAATTACATAAAACAAAACTGGGAGAAAGAGTCAAATTAACAAATAACAGAGGAAGACTGAACATATATGTGTGTCACATTTAAAAACCACAAACTCGAGACCTTGGAGAGAGTTTGGATGGAAAAATCTGATGAGGTTCTTCATAACTCCTCCTAAACTGTCAGCATTGCGTACAGGTGTTGAATGTTTTGTTCTTGTTTGAGACAGTGTGCAACATCAGTGGCTAACCATTTTCACGTTTTTTCGGCTTGCCCAAAAATACAGACCTTCTGGTATGAAATAGTGACTGAAATAAAAAACAACTGGCCTGGATTACTGGATACTGGATTAATGGCAAGGTGCTGCCTTGTCATAAAAGTTTAATTTACCTATTACTATTTGTCAATTGCGTATGAAGACAGTCTTAGAATCGAGAGACAGTTCGTGCATTTAAGCCTTTAAAAGCCACCTTCTCTGTGATGTCGTAAACACCAAATTGCTTTTCGGTTCCTCTTATCTGATTGGATGTTGTGAGCATGTCGTTTTTTGTAACCTGTTAAAAACCAGTTCAGCAAAGTGATGGCAACATTAAGGCTAAAATAATGTCTTGGAAGCAGACATTCATGTGGGTACAACGCAACAATTTGCTCATTATACATTTTTGAACATTTTAAAAATATTTAAATTCAAGATTCAAACACAATTTTTGACACAATATTTAAAACATGGCTGAGAAATAACTATTAACTTTTCCTCTTTTTTTTTTGGTGGGGCCAGTGAAAATATTGGCAGGGCAAGTAAAAATCTGAACCGCTGGCCCAATTGGACCAGTAAAAAAAATCCTTAGTGTTGAACCCTGTTATATATATATATATATATATATATATATATATATATAAAGAATACCACAACGGCGAATATGTCAAGTATAAAAGCCTTTTTAATTTCCTGAGGTGCACACGCAAATATTCTTGAACGTGAATCCATCTAAAATTTTACAATTTTTTATCAAAAGGAAATCTTAAACTGTTTTAGATTTTTATCTTATATATTATCATTATTATTATTATTTATGTTTTTTACTTTGGAAATTATTTCTTCCTGTTGATGACTTTTAATTGTTAGAATATTTTTTATAATTATAGAAATAAGTATTTATAAAACTTGATAAACTTGATCTATTTTCTTTTTGCCATGACAAAGCCATAGCAATAAAATTAAAACTCTCTCTCTCTCTCTGAGATGCACACGCAGTCAGCAGAGGTCTGCAACACAGTGCCAGGTGAAAGTATAAATTAGGCTTCATTGCCATACCGTACTATCTATTACATGGTTGAGCATTTCTAAACACATAAAAATAGTTACTATGAAAAATAAGCATTGGTAGCAGCAAAATGACACCAGCAGGAAACCCTCTAGATGAACTCTGAATAAATCTACACCATGTTGTTACAGTACAGGACATTTCAAAAACAAGGCTCCCAATCCAAACCCCAAACTATGCTTGTTGGTCTCCAAGATCTTCTCATTCATTAATAATCCAGCTAGCTGAAACAGACTATTAACATTTATAAATGACCTTTCCTGCACTCCAAACAGCTCAGCAGTGTATTTCATTGAGGAAAAAAAGTTTATTACTATATATTAGTATAACAAAACAAGCATTGTTATGCACAGTTATCAGGAGTCCTGCCATAATCCATATGTATCTTCTCATATTTTATTTTCAGGCTCTGATCCAGAGCTCTACAAGACTCATCTCAGCGCAGTGGAAGCCAGTGGACCTCCAGAGGAATATGACGAGGTATTAAACAGCAATTCTGTGGTTATTGTGTCCATTTATCCTCCTCTCGTCATGACAAATATAATAAATCAGAATCAGCATGTAATAAACTTTAGGATCCCCATGATTGCAGAATGATGGAATCCAGAGCAGCACATTCCTCAAATTCCCCAAAAGATTAAAAGACCACAGTCGAGCTCAGCACATCTCAAACTCAGCATGCTCATTTTCCTGCTGCAGTGCCTCCTGCTGGCTCACTTTTTCAGAGTTTTTATTTTTCCACTATTTTTTTTTTTGCATTTCAATGTTTCATTGTGGAACAGTCTGAGCAAACTGAGGCAATAATCAAACACATGTCCTACTTGCTCACTTTATTCGCTCTCAAGTGAATCATTTTGGCCACTTTATTCATTTAGGCCAGAGGTGCCCAAAGTAAGGCCCATTCCATCTGAATAGAGGAAAATGATGGGGAGTTGGTTGGGGCGAATGCCTTTGACAGATTTAACATAAGCTTTTGTTTATTTGTTTAATTGAGGGGCTACAAAAACATCCAATTAAAATGTAATGTACTTTTAAAATGTAAATACTGTCACTTGACAGATGGACAATGCACAATACATCGGCAAGCAAATCAAGACAAAGGCAGGAGCAGCTCCACTAGTGTATACTGCATTGAACTCCATTGTGTTGTAAATGGAATTGTTTATGCTTTTACTATAAAAAGTTCATTATAAAACATTAAAAATGATACGGCATCTATAATTAATAGAATAATATTATCAGCAAATAAATTAGAAAATTACTCAAGGCAAAGTGAATGTAATATGGATTGGTTTATTTGTGCATCGATAGATTTGCTCTTCAGTGTTTGGACTTTAAGCAGTAAAAATTAAACCACCTGAACTGAACTGAACTGAACTGAACTAAACTAAACTGAACTTCAACTCAAAGATGTGTTGAATTGAATATATATAACTTCGGCCCACTGGCCTCGATTAACTTTGGTCTTTGGCTATTTATAAGAAACTCCTGATTTAGCCGGACTAATGTGAGATTTAAGATGTCATTTTAATTAAATTCTGTATCTTTTGTAAATTATCTAGATAATTTGGTATTTTGTGAAAGTTCCCCTATTTTGACTCATTGAGAATCAATAACTATTAAAACATATATACTATATATACCAACATACTTTCACTGGCCACTTTATTAGGTACACATTTTGCCTTCACAACTGCCTTAATCCTTCATGGCATCAACAGGGTACTGGAAATATTCCTCAGAGATTTTGCTCCATATTGACATTATAGCATCACGCAGTTGCTGCAGATTTGTCGGCTGCACATCCATGATGTGAATCTCCCGTTCCACCACATCCCAAAGGTGCTCTATTGAATTGAGCTCTGGTGACTGTGGAGGCCATTTGAGTACAGTGAACTCATTGTCATGTTCAAGAAACCAGTCTGAGATGATTCACGCTTTATGACATGGTGCGTTATCCTGCTGGAAGTAGCCATCAGAAGATGGAGACACTGTGGTCATAAAGGGATGGACATGGTCAGCAGCAATACCCAGGTAGGCTGTGGCGTTGACACGATGCCCAATTGGTACTAATGAGCCCAAAGTGTGCCAAGAAAATATCCGTCACACCATTACACCACCATTACCAGCCTAACTGTTGATACAAGGCAGGATGGATCCATGCTTTCATGTTGTTGATGCCAAATTCTGACCCGACCATCCGAATGTGGCAGCAGAAATGGAGACTCATCAGAGCAGGCAACGTTTCTCTAATTTTCTATTGTTCAGTTTTGGTGAGTCTGTGTGAATTGTAGCCTCAGTTTCCTGTTCTTAGCTGACAGGAGTGGCACCCGGAGTGGTCTTCTGCTGCTGTAGCCCATCTGCCTCAATGTTGGAACTGTTGTGTGTTTAGAGATGCTCTACTTGGTTGTAACGAGTGCTTATTTGAGTTACTGTTGCCTTTCTATTAGCTGGAACCAGTCTGGCCATTCTCCTCTGACCTCTGGCATCAACAAGGCATTTGCGCCCACAGAACTGCCGCTCACTGGATATTTCCTCTTATTCAGACCATTCTCTGTAAACCCTAGAGATGGTTGTGCATGAAAATCCCAGTACATCAGCAGTTTCTGAAATACTCAGACCAGCCCATCTGGCACCAACAACCATGCCACGTTCAAAGTCACTTAAATCCTCTTTCTTCCCCATTCTGCAGTTGGACAGGTGTACCTAATAAAGTGGCAAGTGTATATAACATACATAGTTATATATAACTCTAGCAAATTCAAAATGATGTCTGATTTATTTATATTAATTTAAAATGATGTATTTTGTGTTTGAGATTACATTTTTTTCATGTAATGTGATTCTTAAATATAAAGTCTGGCCCGAGTGTATTTATACCCCTGGCAAATTCTGACTTCAAGTTTTTTCTGACTTAAAATTTAAATAAAAGATGAGAAATATATATATTTTTTCATCCTCTTAATATGCTTTGGGAGAAGCTGTTGTCAAAAAACAAATCTTGCTGGTTGAAAAAAAGTAACTTTAAGTCAGAATTTGCCAGGGGTATGAATAATTTCGGGGCTTGACTGTATATGGAAAAAAATTACCTGGAAAAACATAATATGACGTTAATTTCACAACTCTTTTCTAAACTGAACATGTGGCTCATTGTTCCCAACAGAATTTGCATATATGAATATTCATTCAGTAAATATAGAAATCTTGTTTTTCTTGTTTTTTTGCAAAATAATTTTTCCCATTTCTGTCTTCCTGTCATTTTCAACGAAAAGCACACACACACACACACACACACACACACACACACACACACACACACACACACACACACACACACCTGCATGTTTTCCTGTGGGTTGTGAATGGCTCTGCTGTTTCCCTGTTTGCTGTCAAAACACACTGGCCAGGGTGGTTTGTGTAGCACCTCGTCCACAGGAACAAACACACACACACACACACACACACACACACACATACACACACACACAAGCACAAGCTTGACAATATGCCCGGTGATATATTTTCTATAACACACACACACACACACCTGTCATTCATCAGATCATATGATTGTCGCAGTGTCCTGAATATTTGTTTGTAGGGTGTGAATTGTTAATGTTTTGCCGTATGTTGGAAAAACAGCAATAGTCTGTCTTAAAACCTCCCGAGCCGCCTACCTAGACTGCATTTTGTTGTCATCATAGGCAAACTAGAAATGCTAAGTAAGCTTTTTATGTTTCCACTCACCGCCACATAATATATGCACACATTCTGTTTAATGATTTGACAAGTTAAAAGAAAAGGGTGGAGTCACGACAACAGGCCCCGCCCATTCCTGGTGCTTTTACCCTTCAGACTTTGGTCCTCATTTTGCACAGAAGCAGAGCAGCAGTAATATCTCTCTCTCTCTTTCTCTCTCTCTGTGTTTTGGTGGCTGTCAGAGAGATAGGAAGTAGTTGTTAGTTTTGTGGTTAGTTAGTGAACCTGTTTTTCCTGTGGGACTGTACTTGGGAAAGAATGGTTCTGGGAATGGCCTCTCCTGTTCTCGGAGCTCCTCTCGGACTCGCACAGGTACGTCAGGTTCTGGATTGAAGGAGGTTTATGTGGATTTACGATGGCTCTGTTTTCTTTGGTTAGAAACAGCTGATTGATGCTTTGAGGATTTTTCTTGAGCTCTTGTCAATGGTTTATTATGATTTTCAAGGTAATATGTTGGATGTTAGTCTGTTGTGTTTTTAAATGACCTTTAAAGGTTTCTTATTGTCATTTTTATTTTCCATTTTTAAGATAATTTTTGGCGTAGTATAAAAGTTATTAACTTTTAAAATGTTTTTTTGCTTTAATTTTTTAAAGTAAAAATAGTTTACAAAGTTTTAAACAACAATTATTATAAACATTTTTATACAAATTGACAAAGGCTTAATTTTTTCATTTAGCAAAAAAACAAACAAACAAAAAAACACAAATAAATAAATAATATTAAATAATACATTACTAACATATTTGTCTAATCTATGAACTTTCAGTGTCCATTAGTTCAACAAAGGGGTCACCATCCAGACTCTCCAAAAAGTCATTGAACACTTGCTAAATAGACTAAAATATATTAATTTTATTATTCAAAAATAGTATACAAAAGTTTATATAATTGCACTGTAAAATGACTGTTCCAAAATAGTTTATAATTTATTTAATTATTTATTCCAGTGATTTTAAAGATGAATTTTATTAATAATAGTAATAAAAGCAATAATAACTCGAGTAATAATGAAACTACATACAATAAGAAAGCTGTTATTTAAAATGTTTATAAATATTACTTTTTTTTTACATTTAATAAATGTCGCCTTCATCAACATAATAATTTTCTTTTAAAAACATTTAAAAAAACACTGACTCCAAACTTTTGACCAGTACTAAATATTTCTTTTCTTTTTTTTTCTTTTTTATGCTTTAGTAGGTTCATCTTTGGTCGGACAGAAAACACTGTAATTACAATATGAATAATATTGATACATATGGATATACATAGCATGCCATAAAAATCATTAATAATAGAATTTATTTGTAATGTAAAAATGTAGATTTTTTATTTTAAAATATGTCTGCATAAAAATTTTTAAAAATATATTTGTTATAACAAGATGTTGTGAATAATAATTTTAAATATAATGTCACTTATATTTATTACAAAATACGCTTAAAATGGAGGGGATTTTTTACAATGTATTTTTAAATAACTGATTTTAATTGTTTAAATATTTTTATTTTTAGAAATTTTTGCAGACATTCACTTGTAAATACACTTTTAAAAATACAAACATAAAACTTGCATTTCAAGACAAAGAAAAAGAGAAAATAAAAAAACAACCAGCAGACATAAAAATGACAAATAAACAAAAATTAAACATACCTTCCCCCAACCAACGACATGGTAAACAACACAAAATTAGTTTTTATTAAAAAATTAAGAAAAAAATTATTTAATAATTTTAAAAAGTCGTATAAAAGTTCTTTTTAAATCTGAAAAATATTAAACATAATTTAATTTTTATTTTATACATTTTCAGTGTGCAGAATAATATTTACTGCTATTAATAGTGATCGTATTATACATTACAGGAGTGTTCGTTGTTGAAATACAGTTAAATTATGTAAATATTCAGGTTAGATTAAGTGCATTACCATAAAATCCAAACAAAGGGGTTGTTTATTTACTCTTTGAGGCTCTTTTAAAGTTTAAACCTCTTGTTTAAGTGCAGTGGATGATTGACAGGTGAGTAGGCGGTCCTTCATTGTTGCCTGGAAAGCATCAGACAGATTAGCATTGACACATGTTTCTTTTATTTATTTCTTTACCGTCATAATCATAGTTTTTTTCAACCACATTTATATGAGTTGGATCAAATTGTTCCTTAAACATTCATCATAAACTAATTAACTTCAAGCTCATGTTTGCACTTTGGTGCTTATAAAGTGTGTATGAAACATTTCCCTTCAGAAGCCAAACGATCTGCTATTAACATTTGTTTACAGTTGAAGTTAGAATTATTAGCCCCATTTCTGTTTAACAGGAAGATTTTTTCAACACATTTCTGACAATAATAGTTTTAATAACTCATTTCTAATAACTGATTTCTGTTTTACCATGATGACAGCACATAATATTTGACTAGATATTTTTCAAGGTACTAGTATTCAGCTTAAAGTGACATTTAAATGCTTAATAAAGCAAGCTAGGGTAATTAAGCATGTTGTAAAATGATGGTTTGTTGTGTAGACAATCGAATAAAATATTGCTTAAAGGGGTTAATAATATTAACCTTAAAATGCTTTAAAAAAATTAAAAACTGCTTTTATTCTAGCTAAAATAATAAAAAAGTCTTTCTCTAAAAGAAAAAAATATTATAGGAAATGCTGTGAAAAATTTCTTGCTCTGTTGAACATCATTTGGGAAATATTTGGGAAAGAAAAAGAGGACTAATCATTTTGACTTCAACTGTATATGCTTTATATTCTCTCTGTCAGTTAGTTGTTTCCATTGCTTTATTATGAACTTCTGAGATGACGTAACTGTAAGCATAATGTCTCCAAGAGCAATAAAGGTTGTAATCAGTGTGTGTGTGTGTGTTTGCAGCAGGCGGAGGTCTCTGACAGCGCTTATCTGGGTTCAGAGAGTGCCTACAGCGAGTGTGAAACCTTCACAGACGAGGACACGACGGCTCTCGTCCATCCAGAGCTTCATGAAGATGTGGAGACAGACAGCGGCATTGAAAACACACTCACAGATGGAGACGACCGCAACAGGTAACAAACAACGTTAACAATACTAAAGTACACGTACAATAGAACTAAAATAGCTAAATCAATATTGAAACCTGAAATCTCAAATATAAAATTAAAAGCTAATTATTAAAAATACCGTAACAATACAGTTTGTTAAGATTTGTATCTGTTTCACAGTGAATATGGACAATATATTGATGCATCTTTTCAAGACAGTATTAAACATTTCTTCTCGTTAGCTTAAAAGTCTGGTTATGTTTTAGAATTAGAAAAACTAAATAATAATTATTATCAAAGTGAGATGTTGCTGAAATTATTAACCCCCTCTTGTGTAAAACCAATTAGATTTGTACAATAATCTCAAAGCATAAGATCCTTTAGAGCAGGCATTCCCAAACTTTTTTTATTCCGGGACCCACCTAGGCAAGTAATTCAATCTCAAGAGCCACCATAATATTTTAATATGGAAAAATGGGTCAAAAATTGTATCCATTCAAAGCAGTCAAAAATATATGGTGTGCTGCTTTTTAGATTTTGCGATTTGAAATGCACAAAATGAGGCTCGAACTGCTTTTTGTGGGATGCTGGCTGTAACTGTGATATTTTTTTTGTTGAAAAAGATACTCTTCGTTTTTTAGAAGAGAATATGATCAACCTTTCATCAAGCCCCTTGGTTATGATCAAGCCCCGTCACATCGCAGTAAATTCCACTGCTAGTGTAGTCATAAGAAACTAAACAGCTTTTTGATCGACTACTACAAGCTGGGAAAAGGTCAGATAAATATGCCAATGCAATTAACGATATCGCTGAATAGATCTAATATTTACACATTTGCTTGAGGAAGGAATGATGGGGGTAGTTACATTACTATTGCTATTTTCCATAACATCTATGCCCTTCCATAACATTAGCTGACGTTAAAACTAACAGATCGCACTATAGCTATTTATTAATTAGCAATATGTCAATGTTGGGATGTAAAAAACATGGGACAACAAATAGCTTCAAATGATAGAATACATAGAAAATATTAGAAAATATTGACAATAAAATAAAAGGTTTAGCCTATTAAAATCAATGGCCTATCCAGAAATTAAATAAAGCTATAAAATCTATTTCACTTTTGTATTTGCATATTGATTAAAGTCACTATAGTTATTTAGTGAAGAGAACAAATGAATCTCTCATTGTGTTTTGTTTGATAGGTGTTAATGTTAGAATGCAAAGATCTATAATGAAAGCATTCGACTACTTTAGTAACTGTTTGTGCTCATTTAAGAGAAAATTAGTAGTGTTTAAATAAAACACGCAGGACGGAGCCAGAAAAATAAAAATAAAAATAAATAAGCACTTTTCCGACGGTCCCTTACTGAGAGCACCACTCATCGGCGGAACATATGCTGCGTCCGAAACCGCATACTTCTATACTATATAGTACGCTAAAATCAGTATGCGAGCCAAGTAGTATGTCCGAATTCATAGAAATCGAAAATCAGTATGGGAGAAGTACCCGGATGACTTCCGGCGAGATTCAAGAGTGCGCATCCCATGCATGCTGCGCTATCCCATGATGCCCCTCGAGCAAATTCATGAACGGGAGTAAAGCGATGCAATTGACTCAGGTAGGTCACGTGACCATGACAAAATGGTGGATGTAGTACGTCCGAATTCTATTCATACTTTTCACATTCATAATGTATAGAACGTACTTTTCTAACAGCCGAGTAGTACGTTTAAATTCTAATGCAGTACCTAATGAGTAGTAGGCAGTTTCGGACGCAGCCTTAGATTGCGAGGGCTCAAACGGAGCAGTGCTCGTAATGTCGAGCGGGGAAAAAAACATAAAAAGACAGCTGTGAAACATAACCAGCTTTGTCTTTTTGTAGAAAACACACTTTAGATATTTTTAGGGTAAGAGGTTATTGAGTTATTGCCGTCAATCGTACTGGTTTTGATTCACCGCAATGCAAATATAGCTGCAGCTATGTGACATTGCGCGACCCACCTTTGTTCACTGTGCGACCCACAGTTTGAAAACCCCTGCTATAGACCAGGAGTTGGCAAACTCAGCCCTGGAGGGCCGGTGTCCTGCATAGTTTAGCTGCAACACTAATCAAACACACCTAAACATGTTAATCAGTGTCTTTAAGATCACTAGAATCTATAAGCAGGTGCGTTTGATTAGAGTTGGAGCTAAACTGTGCAGGACACCAGCCCTGCAGGACCGAGTTTGCCCACCCCTGCTACAGACAGCATTCATTTAAAAGCGAGACTGTTGTTTTTCTGGTAAGTCTGTCAGGGTGTATTCATTTATGCTGGGAACTGTACACCATGATACTAAGATAATAACATGTCTTAATACTGACTGTTGGCCCATAAAGCATGCCCTTTCAGTAGCCTTGAATGCATTAGCAATAATCTCACAAAATAAAACAATTTCCTGATAATGTGTATCCTCTCAGGACACAGTGTTCTCAACCTGTTTTTTTCTCCAAGTCAATGTTTTAAGGCTCTACATTAGATACTGGCAACCTGTACATCTGCAGCAATAAGAAAAGTGTTTGTTTTTACTACATATTTTTCAAGAGTTCACACTTAGATACTGTTTGACAACTTGTTAGCAAGTTAGCAGGTTTGGCATGCTGTCACGGGAGAGAACTCTGAGATCAGAGATAGTTGAGCCCAGGGCTCCCGCCAAGTCCATAGAGCATGTGAGGGGAGTACGAGGTCAGGTGTTCTCAAGAGCTCCCCTCGGCAAAAGAGGAAAGAAGGAGAAGGGGTGGATGGGGAGTTTCTTCGGGAAAACGAAGATAAGGGAGTAGTTCTTAGCTAGGTTACTTATAGTGAGTTTGGATCAATCTGATTGGCTAGCTAATGAGTGTAGATGAGTGGCCAGCTGCAGTCAATCATATCACGTGCTCCTCTTGAAATTAGTTTGTGAAACGTCATTTATTAAAAAAGCATTTGAGGGCTCCAAACTAACATTCAGTCATTAATTTATTAATTTATTCATTTATTTTCCTTCGGATTAGTATCTATTTCAGAGGTCGCCACAGCAGCTTGAACCACCAACTATTCCAGCATATGTTTTACATTGGTGATGCCCTTTCATTCTCAACCCAGTACTGAGAAACACCCATACAGACTTATTCACACATATTATATAGACTTCCATTCATTTTATACTGTCCAAACCGTATATTGTATTGCCCTCACCCCTCCCTACAACTAAACCCAACCATCACAGGAGACTGTCTGCAGCTTTACTCTCTGATTAAACTCATCCTGTGGGATTTATAAGCTTTTTGAGAAATGAGGACGTCACCAATGTCCTCATATTTCACTTCCTTTTTGTAATACCTGTGTCATATCCATGTCATTATACAGATTTGTGTCCTGATATGTCACAAAAACACGTACACACACACACACACACACTAAGGCCAATTTAGTTCATTCAACTCGAACCAGCGACCTTATTGCTTTGAGGCGACAGTGCTAACCACTGTACCACCAGGCCTGTAGCTGCATCGTAAAAAGCAGTTAGTGGACTTTACTTAAGAAAAGTGAGTAAACCTGTTGCTTTAAATTGATCTAAATAAGCTGTTGGTAAAAACAACCAATTTTCACTTTTTTGTGAAATAAATGTGTCCTAATAGTGTTTTTAGCAGTGTTGGACTCATATACGACTGTAGAAAACCTTTGGGACATGCTCCAGAACCTCTTTGATGCACGTATTGAAGGCCTACCACATGGTCCACAGCTGCACCCTATCACCCTAATCATCAACCCTTTAAATAGTGTGGCTTCAGTGCCACAGTCTTTCACTGCTCTGGACTCCTCATGTGGTGTTGTGGCTGCGTGTAAATAAACCAGTCTTTTACCATGTGGAGAGAATGTACTGGCATTGGTAAATAAAACTCAAAGAAATGGATCTTGCTTTAAGTGTTTTGACTGACACTCCATTGTGATACTCTCCCTGCGAGTCAGCATTACCTTTCTAGTTTCTTACAACAACTGTCAACAGCTCAACAAATGTGTTTTGGTGTTTCATGACCCTTTAAAAACGCATTAAAAGGATAAAACTTCACTCTATTATGGTTAAACTTAGCAGCGACTCTTCTGACCACTGTAGCTCATGGTCAATTATGATTCCAACTAGGGCTGCAACAACGAATCGATTAAATCGATAAAAATCGATAAAAATCGATTACTAAAAGCGTTGGTAACGAATTTCATTATCGATTCGTTGTGTTGCGCGACATGGAGACGTTTGATAAAAAAAGAAGACTTTAGTTCAGCGCGGAGCGGAGAAAACCCGCCCCTCTCCGTCTCTCGCGCACTGATACAGAGTTCAGCGCCTCAAGAGGACAGGGATGATGCGGAAGAATCACTACAGAATTCTACTTTTGTTCCGTTTTGAAGTGAGAACCGTAAAGTCCCTGGTGCTGGTTTCTTTGTGTCTGGCGCTGAGCCAGAGAAGGAGAGCGGGGTTAACCAGTTTAAGTTTTCTGTATTCCTGACACATTCAGTGATAGACGGCATTAAAACAAAAAACTCTTACCCTAATAAGATCTAAACTGTGTTTCCTACAAAAAGACAAAGCAGGTTATGTTTCACAGCTGTCTTTTTATTTTTTCGCTCGTTATAACGAGCACTGCTCCGTTTAAGCAGTCGCAAATGCTCTGAGCCAGGGAGAACTCGCGCTCAGGAGAGCTCTCAGTTAGGGACCGTCGGAAAAGTGCTGCTTTATTTTTCGTTTTTTCTTTTCGAAAACAAAACCAACTTAACTCCGCTGAAAGCTGTGACATATTTTCACAATTATGCAGCGTTTTAACCGCCTAATACTTCATTTATGTTTTAGATATGTAAATACACACAAGTACTAGTAAACAATACATTTAGTGTTTGTAAAACACACAAGAAAGTCTAACAATCCATTCAAATATAATTTGCCGATGTGTTTTATTCATATCAGATACACATTACACATAGTTAAAGTAACTATAAAGTTGAATAT